TGGCAAGTCATCGCCGACGGTGCGTTGATTCAGCAAAGTGATGCCCTCCGGGATCTGCCCACCACGCTTGCCTTTGCTGCTAATGTCGCGGAATTCTTCTGAATATTCCTGCACGCACATGCATGGGAGCAAAAAAATAAAAAAAACAATGCAGGAAAAATCAAAATTTCAGTCACAGTGGTGGCACAAAATGTCAAGTATTGGTCCACTGGTGGTTCAAGATGAAAGAGCAAAGCTGTATAAGCATTAACTACATATTTGGAAAGCTTTTATCATGTTAGTTCACACAAACAAGAAAAGGTGAAAGATTATTTAAGCTTGCCCTATCTCTGAACATGCTTACATAGTGCCAAAACAAGAATAACTGTGCAGTGAGACTTATCTAACTTGACAATTCAACATGATTTTTGAAGTGAATAAGGTAAGCTCTAGGTCATGTGTAACCATTTCCTCTTTATCACAAGAAGCAGTTGTCTCTCCTGTGATAAAGTTTTTAGTTCACACTGGAATTATAAGAATGGAGTTACAGCTAATATGCAAGAACACAGTAGATTCTTCAACATCTCAGGCAGTACTGTGGGATATCAAGGTTGGTATATATTCTTTTATGCACTTCAGTTGGATTGTTGTCCAAGTATAAAATACTGGAAGAAACTGCACTGCCACTAATAATTTAAGAAAAATAAAGATATCAAGATACTGTCCCAACATTAAAACCATAACAGTGAGTGAAAAAGTAAATTCAATTTAAGAAACATTTGTACATAATTTTGGAAAAGATACACATTGATTCTTTTCAGATATGCTGATAAAGTGTTCATCAGATTCTAACTTTACTATAGATTATGATGCACTCTACAGTCGTCCCTACAAATCTGTGGGTTACATTCCTAGATGTCCCACAAAAGTTTAACCATAATTAACACACAATTAAGTTTACATAATATGTTTTGCTTCAGATTTAGCCTCATTTTCAGTTGAAGAGCCCATATCTCTGTAATATATCACTAAGCTGCTTAATACTGACATTCATAAAACAATGACTAAACTAAAAATAAGTTGGAATGTGAAATCTATTGAACCACAAAAAATATTGGATAATTTAAAATCTATTCACTGGCTTCTCAAGAGTAAAAAGTTAGGATAAACAAAATCGGTGAATATGGAAACCCAAGAGTTTGTAGGGACCACTGTTCATCAAAACCTAGCCTTACCAGCAACTGTGATGCATGATACCAAACTGCAACCTTTGCAGTCAACATAATAAATCTTCAAGCACACTGTATATAGGAGGAAAACACCACCTTCTGTTTAATGCCTACAAAAATCTACAGCCAACTATAATCCAAAATGTTTAGTGGGCTGCACAGAACACTATGATGTTCACTGGACTATTAGGTAATTAATATTGCATTTATGTGAACTGCTAAGTCCTTCTAAGAGATTTACCAAGGTATTCCAGTCAGTGAGGAAGTCACAACACAACCAAGTCTTCCTACTTAAACTTCCACAACCAAATTTTTTTTTTATGACAAAACTCAACTAAATATCCCTATAGATATATTAAAAAAAAAAAACAGAAAACAAATGTCTTAGAATATATGCTCAACAGGATTACAGCATTGCCTATATGTTAGAAGCAAGGAATAGCACCTTGACTGATAAAGGTCAGGAGAACTGTTCAAAGTCAACGGTAAACCACACACAAAGTGGACTTTATTCTATCTTCGAGATATAATTTACAACGATTTGTGTAAATTATATGGGCATGTTACCACAAAACTACAACCATATCTGCTAATTTTTCTATTTTGCATTTCAACTCAACGAAATTCATGAAATTCATGAAAAACTCTTAAATAGCACTATACCAGGTGACACTACACAATACTAGATAACACTGCTGAGGTAGCTCCCAAGGCACTTACAGTTAATAATAATTTTTCTTTTAACAAATTGGCCATATCCCACAAAGGCAGGGTGACCTAAAATGAAAAACAAAAGTTTTTCTTTTAAATTTAGTAATTTATACAGAAGGGGTTACTAGCCCCTTACTACCTTCATAATAATATCATTATTATTATTTTATCAATGTTTACATTCATGAGAAAGTGCTAAACCCACTGGAGTTCTATACCACATTGGGAATGGGAAGTAATTAGGATTGATCCCAAAAATAATAGGATAGCTCCAAGACTTTGAAAGAGCTTTTCACTGGCATCAAGATACTGTTCTTGCAGTTAAGAACAACAGTATAGTATGAGAACACTGCTTTATAAACTACTGATAAGAACAGTCATAGGATTATAATCCAACTTCAACACCATTCTACTTTTCATTCAAATTTGCTTCAGTTTAATAAATAAAACACTATTACAATATAAGAACACTGTCTCAAGATTGGGCAAGCTGTAAAACTGACAACAATACTAAGGAACTGATTAGTTGACTACAACCACACTGTAACACTTTAACATTATACTACTCATGCATGTTTGAAACATTAAGACCAACATGAGAAAACTATTACATCAGTCATCACATGATCACATCAGTGATTACTTCATGACACCAGTGATGACAAGATGACACCAGTGGTCACAAGATGACACCAGTCCTCACTGCATGATCACACCAGTGATCATATGTCTATCCTTAGTGTCATGTAGTAATCACTGGTATCATGTGATCACTGTTGACATCATGTAATGATCATTGGTGTTATGTAGTCACTGCCGTGATCACACAATCACTGCTCACTCTGCATGCCATTATCATATAAAAACATTTAAAGTGCAAAATGCAGTGCAATAAAAGCACAGAAAAATTCTACATTTAAATAAGCAAAGTTACAAAAACTGTTGGGAAGCTGAGAGCAGATTACTGACATGGAGTGATAGTTAAATGAAAAATATATTTTCTCTGACACGTTCAAACTGCTTTCATGACTAATACATGGAAGTTATAATTCTAATATTAATGTCTTAATGATGAGAATTTATACTAATAAAAATGCCTTTTATAAATTCATTTAAAGATTATAACATTTTCAACCTTCCCTTGTCAATATCAAGTACAACTTGTATTCCAATTCAGTTAGATCAGCTCATCAGTGCAGCAGGTAGATGCAAGACTCAGGATGCATTCTGTTCAAGGTTTAATACTGTATCACATATCATCAAGCTTCAAATTTACAACAATAATGTCAATCACTAATATGTTATTTAAAATACATGTAGATATATCAAGACACTGAGTTTAAAACAAAATATTTCTGAGCTGTGTTGAATGTAAATACTGAATCTTAATCAAACAAACTAATTAAACAGAGAAGCATCAATGTGAGTCTATTGCATTACCATTCTTCTGATGCCCAAACACATCAATAAGCATAAAAATATATAAACATACTGCCAACATACCTCAAATGAGGGCCAGTTCATAGGCATATTAACTCCATGGTTGTTGCTCCACCATTTAAGATCTTTTTCATAGTCAGCATTTGCTACTGTGTGGTTGAATTCCTCATAGATTCGCGGTAAACTGAGGCCAGAAGATAAAACTCTTTTAATACTCACAAAACATCTCCTAAAAGCTTCATACATTTAATATAAATACAATGAATAAAAATAAACACCTATATACATGCTTGAGAAAAATAATAAAGAGGATGTGTGTAAGCCATTGGGCTTACACACATCCTCCTTTCATGCCTTGCCCCTAGCCTTGTGTTGCTATCTGGTGGGCCTAGATCAATCTAGAGCACAGTGAAGTAGATGCTGTTCAGCCTCACTAACATCAGATGCAGGTACAGCCAGATGTACCCTCCTCCCACTCTTGTAGGTCTACAGCCTTGGAGTAGAGCTAGCACAACCCCTCCTGCTGTGAACCAAACACCAAATACAGTGGACCCCCGGTTAACGATATTTTTTCACTCCAGAAGTATGTTCAGGTGCCAGTACTGACCGAATTTGTTCCCATAAGGAATATTGTGAAGTAGATTAGTCCATTTCAGACCCCCAAACATACACGTACAAACGCACTTACATAAATACACTTACATAATTGGTCGCATTCGGAGGTGATCGTTATGCGGGGGTCCACTGTACTAACAATTCTCCTGTATTCATTGTAAACTCACCTAATGACCATATGTAGAAATTTACTGGACTGTTACTGCTTTATTAATCTTAAATTAGCCTTAAGTTTGCCCAAAATGCTCTGCATATAAAGGGGCTTTTGGCATGTACACAATTGTTATACAGTGGAACCTCTACTTACAAGTTTAATCCGTTCCATGACCTTGCTCGCATCTGGATTTGCTCGTGTGCATGAGTCAATTTTCCTTATTTAAATTAACTGAAATGGAATTAATTCACTCCAGTGGAATTCCAGGCATGAGAAAATACTTCAATAATTTCCCTAATATTAACTCTATGGCTTATTTATTTATCAAAATTCATGTAATATGACATATTAAACAATATTAATGACATAGAAACATAATATATACACTAGAATGAATAAAATACATGTCATCATGTATGTGGATAGTGGTGGCGACAGCAGCCATTGTTGTTGTTGGAGTTTATAGAGCCCCCACAGCAGCCATTCCTGCTCCTGACCACATGCGTAGAGAACCTAGGATAACCCAAAAAAAAGTCAGACAACTTGAAGCAGCATTGGCAATGCTACACTTTGCCAATGCTGCTTCAAGTTGTCTACCACTGCTACCTCATGATGTCTGCCACTGCTGCTTCATGCTGTCTGCCACTGCTGCTTCATGCTGTCTGCCACTGCTACCTCATGATGTCTGCTCCCACTTTTGCTACCGTATTGAAGAGCTAGGTAGTAGATTGGTAGATAGCAACCACCCAGGAAGGTACTACTATCCTGCCAAGTGAGTGTAAAACGAAAGTCTGTAATTGTTTTACATGATGGTAGGATTGCTGGTGTCTTTTGTCTGTCTCATAAACATGCAAGATTTCAGGTACATCTTGCTACTTCTACTTACACTTAGGTCACACTACACATACATGTACAAGCATATATATACACACCCCTCAGGGTTTTCTTCTATTTTCTTTCTATTTCTTTCTCATTTCTTATCTCCATGGGAAAGTGGAACAGAATTCTTTCTCCATAAGCCATGTGTGTCATAAGAGGCGACTTAAATGCCAGGAGCAAGGGGCTAGTAACCCCTTCTCCTGTATATATTACTAAATTTAAAAGGAGAAACTTTTGTTTTTCCTTTTGGGCCACCCCACCTCAGTGGGATACGGTTGGTACATTGAAAGAAGCAGCTTTCCAATATGTGAAGGTTGAGAGGCAGTGCCAGTTGGACAGGCATTGGACGGTGACGTCATTTGTTTATTGTTGAACATTGCTAAAGAATCTAACATTTCTGCTACTTTGAGCTCATTTTCAAGATACTTTTCGTCGTGAAACCAATCAAAATCATATCTATTTCTGTAGTATATCTTCTATTCTATCACATGAGACCAAAAAAAAAAAACGAGAATACAACCATAAAAACCATACGAAAATATACCACTAAGGGGAGGCTAATGGCTGCGAAGTGAACTCCGTTATTTATGGTCCGATTTCTTTCAATTTTGATGGATGCTAAGAAGCATCTTTCCATCATACATTGCCCAAGTTTCAAGAAGATAGTCCAACAAACAACTGAGATCTGATTCCCTAGATCAAGAGCAAGAGCCCATCACCAGCATCAAGGAACCTTCCAGGAGGATCGCTCACATCTGGAAATTTCGCTGTCTGGAAGCAAAAAATCAACCGAGCAACTGCTCGTATTTGGAAAACCTCGCACGTGCATACACTCGCAAGTAGAGGTTCCACTGTACTCCTTTGTACAAACATGTACCATGCTGAAATAAAGTTATTATTACTATTATTATTGTTAATATATTGAAACTATATCATTTGGAATGTAGCATTAATGTGTGTGTGCAACAGACAACTGTGACAAACAATTTGTAACTCCAGGAGCAAAGTTAAACTCTTGGTGACCTTTTTAAAGCCTTAAACTGTACACAGATTGTGCTGTGGGTAGCTTTTTGAAAAAAAAAAAAAAAAAAAAAAAAGAGAAAAAAATTACTTTTCTTACAAGACTGTAGAGCACAAAAAACTGAAGTTTGACTAATAAAGCCTAACTGGCAACCTGGTGGTTAAACTGTGCTTATAACCACAATGTCATTATACAATTCTCTCTGAAATCTGTTCACATTTTGTTTGTTCATATGAATTTAGTCTATTTTAGTAGCTATATGTCATATATGTTGTGTATCTTTATACGTATATGCTTCTAAACTGTTGTATCCTGAGCACCTCTGCAAAAACAATGATTATGTGTGAGTGAAGTGAAAGTGTTGAATGATGATGAAAGTATTTTCTTTTTGGGGATTTTCTTTCTTTTTGGGTGTGTGCATAAAACATGGATACACGCAGTGTAACATCAAACACAGTGCAATTGTAGATCTCTTTTATTTACTCAATCTTGTTTTTGTGTGTTTGTTACTGCATAAATACAGTGATCCCAAACTTAATGTACTTTCACCTCCAATAATGCACTGTGAGGGTTATGATCTGCTTAAAATAGTAGACTACAAGAAATTCGAATGTACTTTTCATGACAGAGGGAGTAGGGTAAGAAAAACGGAATACAGTAGGGCCCCACTTATACAGCAGGTTAGGTTCCAGGCTGTCACCAGAAAGCAGACATCGCCGGAAGGCAAAACACCATTTTTTTCCATTTATAAATGCATATAAATGCCAGACAAGTAGTTTACACTAAATTATATTAAGTTAGTAATAGAACTAGGCATTAAAAACACACAAAGTAAAATACATTCACAGTACATTCATTACTTATCTTAAAAGTATTTGTAATCTTAATGTAGGGAGAGAGGTAAGTAGTACTTATTTGTAGGAAGTCAGGTGTAGGTAGCCCTGGCTCCCCATCTCATACTTAATATACGATATTTAAAACATCCCAGAGAGTTAAAATACACATACAGTACACTCATTATTTACCTTAAAATATGTGTAGTCTTAATATAGGAAGAGAGGTGAGTAGTATTTATTTGTAGGAAGTCAGTGTAGGTAGCTGGTAGGTGTAGCCTGGGCTACACCTACCGGCTACCTACACTGTGGTCCAGAGCCATATTATTAACATCGACATACCTTGTTCACTGAATTTAATAATTTCTAACAACTACCTTTAGATGCCATCACAAACGAAAGGAGAAGTAATGAATAATTCATGCCAAAAATTGTACACAAAAGCAGAGTGGGGGAGTGGCTGGGCCAAACGCAGATTCATACACGTTTTCTCTGATGACTGAGCAGAGAAAACGTAATGTTGTCCCTCCGCCCGGCTACCACACAGGTCCACAAGCATTATTATCAGAGCACGTATAAAATATGCAATAAATGCCAGACAACAAGTTTACACTAACTTATATTAAGTTAGCAATAGAAATAGGTATTAAAAACACAATAAAAGGTAACATACACACAGAGTACACTTATTACTTGCCTTAAAATATAAATATTAATGTGTGAGAGGTACATACATTTGTAAGAGTTTGTAAAACATTTACCTCTTTTTTTTATTATAATAATAATTACCTCACAATACAAATACGTACTCTTACATTGTGTACAAGTTGTACAAGTTAGTACAGAATAAACAAACAGCAACACACCATTTTTAGAGTGAATGAAGATATTATTATTATTATTATTATTATTATTATCATAATAAAAAGCACTAAAACCACAAGGGTCATGATTTGCTATATATAGTGAAGGCATACGAAAAGAATATTTTTCTACAGTTATCCCCCAGTTTGACTAGAGAAAACGTAATTCTTCCGACACTATACACAGCCGCTTTGTAAACAAATCTCATATTTACGTTAATTTTTATTCTTTGAGTGTATGTATCATGTTTATATGCTATGCAACGGGTTTCATATATAATTTTGAGGAAAATATCATAGATGGATTAATGAAAATGCCTATATTAATGTAAAATAAGACATTTAATGTGCCCAAGAGTGATTATTATTATGTAGTATTGGCGTCATGAGTAGAGAGACTCTTAGCGATTTTAATGTGTACCTGCACACCAGCACAGTGTGTAAGTATATTTAGGTACAGGTACACATAAGTATAATTATCAGAGTACATATAAAATATGCAGTAACTTTAAAACACTTGAAATTTTGGAAAGTTTCCTGACATAATAGATGTGATCACGGAGAATGTAAACAAACCCGGTGGGGCACGCCGTATTTGAAAGACCGCTTGCCGTATAGCAAATTTTGGTCATAATTTGACATCGCCGTATCAGCGGAACGCCGTAAGGCGAAACGCCATAAAGCAGGGCCCTACTGTATACATGCCACTGTGCACTGGCTTGCAATAAAACAGAAAAAGAACAGCCTGTTGTCGAATGATAGGCTTTGGTCCCATGACTAGTCTCTTCCAACCTTTTCTCGATGCACTTAATCTTGGTCCTTCCATCAAGTTCAAAGCTAAATGAGAATCTAATTCTTTGCTTCCTTTCCTGGATGTACATGTCCACTGCTTGACAACAGGCTTTTCTTTTCCTGTTTATCACAAACCAATGCATAGTGGCATGTACATTCACTACTTTTCTTACCATGCTCTGTCAAGGAAAGTACGTATTCTTATTTCTCTTTTTTCTGTGTCCTTTGCATCCATGACCTTCAGAGTCTTGACTCAGAAATTTCCATCATTTGCAATTTGTTCTCTTGCCTTGGCTACCCTTCCAATTTCATAAACTCTGCCTAATCAGATGCTAAATGGACTTTTTTCTCTCCCAAACTCTCTACTCCTGTGAAATCTCCTGTTCTTTGCCTTTCCTATATTTCCGGTCTCCCAAATCTCAACAACACCCATTCCTTAGACATCAAACTTGCTTTCAAAGATGACATAACCAATGCTTTCAGCCCATTTTTGTAACTCATACATTTTAGGACGGAATCATTTTGAAAAATCACTGGACATTTTATAACTTGTTCATACGTAACATTAGGAAAGTAAGGGCTAAAAGGTTTTTGCTGGAAAAATTACATGAAATATATTATGAAGAAAAAGACAACAAATGAAATGCTTTTACGCTGTATGATGCGAGAAAACCAAACCATTGAAAAAACAGGAAGTTAATGAAAAAAAAAGCAAGCAATAAAAATAATGAGATGAGAGCTGTACCAGCAAAGTTCAAGTTTAACCTGCATGCCATTTGTATCTCAGGATCTCACATGTTCAGGCATACTACATTCCCAGTTATAATACATAATAACTCAAGAGATGAATCAATCAAGTTTAATATGAACTTATTAAAAATTTCTGTGAACAGTGAGGTTATTCTGATAACAGTTTTAACAAAACTACATATTTGACCTAGTAAACAAAACTACTTACACCTGGTAAACAAAACACTTACACCTGGTAAACAAAACACTTACACCTGGTAAACAAAACACATCTAGTAAACAAAACATTTGCACTTAGTAAACAAAACTACTTACTGTATAGTCAACCACTAATTATACATGTTAACAAAAAGCATTTTACATTATTTACTATCACATTTACCTTGGATCATTTGATATGTTAAGACATTTGTGTGTGGCAAAAAGCATGTCTTTGAAGAAGATTAGCCTCTTAGATTCTGCTTCCTGTGCCTTCTCAAACACGTGTGTCATTTCCTGAAGAAGAAAATTTAAACAAGTTACAATCCTAAAACTAATAAGCATTCTTGTCTCACAAATTATCACACAAATGTAAGCACTGCTAATGTACAGTAGTGCACAAATTAATTGGGAAAGGAGTAAATTATGTGATTATCTCATAATTTGTCTTAGTGTCTAGCTTAATTAATGGTGTTTGGGTTCTTTTCTTTTTAGAAGAGTTTGCTACCAACTTCTAGCAAACATCCAGCTGTGATGTTACCCTGTGACTCTCATCAGTGCCAAAACAACTGTTGTTTTGTAATGCTATCCTTGCAAGCTTGCTCCATGAGTGAATGTGGTTTTCCCAAATTCTTCTCTTCAATTCATGATTACTGCTGAAATTCATGATGGATGTCACACTCAGGAAGCATGCAAGCATTGCAGCTCTTAGAAAACATGCTGATTTGAGTATCAGACAGATTGCTGAAAATCTGAGCCAAGCAAAGTCAGTTGTTGGTCAGAGTCTGAATAGAGCTGATGACACTGGTGATTCTGGAGAGCTGCATTGAGGAAGAGATGGAATAAAATGCAAGACAACACCTCAAAGTGACAAGATTATCATGAAAAACAGTGTGAAGGATCCCAAGAAAACCATCAAAGATCTACAGAGAGATTTGGCTTCAACTGGCATAAATGTGTTGAAGGCCCAGTGAAGTTGGAAGAACTGCCAGAAAGCTGGTAAAGAAACAATTATAGACTGCTGCTGTGAAGAAAAAACAGCTGCTGTAGACACTCGATCATAAGGGATGGACAACAGATGAATGGAGAAAAGTTATATTTTCAGAGGAGGTACATCTTGAAGTACATTGGTACAGATCAGTGGTAGAGAGATGGAGCAAAGGCGAATCTCTTTGGAATGGACACAATCAACAAGCGCCACAATATCCACCCAAGATGTTTGGGGTAGATTTACTGGACGGCTTGTTATTGTTGAAGGAATGAACAGTAATAAATACAATGCAATCATGGCAACTCATTTGCCTCCCATTGTAGATAGAGACTTTCCTGGTGGAGAAGGCATTTTCCAGCAGGATCTTGCTCCATACCACACTTCCAGAAAAATGTCGACATTCTTCGAAGAGAGTGGGCTAAGCATTCTAAACTGGCCTGAAAACTCTCCTGACCTCAACCGAATCGAAAATCTATGGGCAATAATGAAACACAGGATTGCAAAACAGTACTGTTCCACTGTGGAGAAGCTAATTGCTGCTGTTATTTAAACCTGGTACGATGACAAAGAACTTGCCAAAATATGGTCGATTCTATGCCAAAGCGTGTAGCAATGTTTATAAAAGCAAAGGGTAGTTATATCTCTTATTATATCAATTATCTGTCATATCACTGCCACCTCATCTTTCACAGACCCATCTGCTGACACGTCCACTCCCAAATATCTGAATACATTCACCTCCTCCATACTCTCTCCCTCCAATCTGATATCCAATCTTCTGTAACCTAATTTTTTTGTTATCCACATCACCTTACTCTTTCCTTTATTCACTTTTAACCCTTTCACTGTCGAGACCTCTGATCACAAACCTACTGTGTGTGAAAAATAAAAAAAAAAAAAAAAAAAAAAAAAAAAAAAAAAAAAAAAAAAAAAAAAAAAAAAAAAAAAAAAAAAAATTTTTTCTTACCAAAATCTTAAGAATATTTTTCTGATTGTTAAAAAAAAACTTTGCAATCAGTACTTACCGAGATATAGAAGTGTGAAGTTGACAATGTGAACAGCTTATGGCAACATCTGCGGCTGCCGCTCACTCGGTAATATTACTTTTAGTTTTATTCTATTTTTTCTTTTCGTTTCTAATATTTTATTTTTTCAACTAACATTTGTGGCCTGTGAGACCAATATAATGCATAATATATACTGTATATATTACCTGGAGTTTACCTGGAGAGAGTTCCGGGGGTCAATGCCCCCACGGCCCGGTCTGTGACCAGCCTCCACTCATATGCAACACAATAACCGCACAAACATTATATTGTTTACAAAGCTGGTTTACACAAACCCACACTGTCTTCCCCACCACCCACACTGCCTTCCCCACACCCACACTGTCTTTGCTCACGACCCATGCTGGAAATAAGTCACTCTGACTTTTTTGGGTCATCCTAGGTTCTCTACACATGCTGCTACGTATGATAACCTATGTAACTGTATTCGTGTATAACTGAATAAACTTTCTTACACACCGTCTTCCCCACCACCCAAGCTGCCTTCCCTTTTTACTATCTGTATCTGGTATCCTGGCAGTGGTGGCTCATAGCTAAAATCAGTGGTGCTGCTGCTTCAGAAAATTTTTAGCCATTGTTTTAATATTGTGTAAAACGAAACAAGCATATAAAATAAAATAGCTGGAAGCATGATAATCATCTAATTCTAAACTTTATCACATTCAAGAATATGGTACATGGTTTTTAAGCACAACACACGTCACCGAGTCAAAAAGAAACACTGCCTTACACTTGCACAACAGGGTCAGCACTGCATCAGTGACAGTGCTCTCTCTATCTAGTGTGCAGCATCTTATCTCAGACATGTGCGCATGCGCACAACAGCCAAACACTGAGTCACTGGAACTGTGAAGTGCAGAGTTCCATACAAGGATTTTTGTAATTTTTTCATGTACTAGGGGATGGCTACTGACATTAAGCTTAAGGATTATATAATGTACAAGTATAAAGAAAGAATTAAAGAAAGAAAAGACTCATTATATTGAATGTCATCGATAATATCAAGTGACAATAGGGGGTGCTGCAGTTGCCTATACATGAGCCGCAACTGTATCCTGGGCATTGCTTTCGGTCACAAACTCCTCAAAACCATGAAATTCATCTTCACTGACACTTCCATCTGTGTTAGAACTATCACTTTGGAAGAGAAGAGTTCCAAATTCACCGGGGAGACAGATATTCCTTACTGCTAGGCATGCTGAACAAGGACTATTGCAATGGCATTCCCACAATGTACCACTAGTTCCCCGATTTTTTTTTTTTAAAGTACGCACTGACTACACAGACCCATTCTCTCACATGTAGGCCTACCAGCTTTCTTCTGCTAGATTTGAAGCCGCTAGAATTTTGGCGTGGTACTATGGCACCAACACTGGCTCGTAATAGTACTACGGCACCAACAGTGAAAGGGTTAAGTTCCTTCTTTTACATAACTTACCAAAGTTCCTTCTTTTACATAACTTACCAAACTCATCAACCAATCTCTGCAACTTCTCTTCAGAATCTCCCAAAAGCACAGTGTCATCAGCAAAGAGCAACTGTAACAACTCCCACTTTGTATTAGATTCTATATCCTTTAACCCCACACCTCTTGCTAACACCCGAGCATTCACTTCTCTTACAACTCCACCCATAAATGAAGTGGAACCTCTACATGGGAGTTTTTCCAAGATATGAGCAGTTCGGTCGATTTTTTGCTTCCAGATGCGAGTGAAATTTCAAGTTGTAAGCGGCCTCAAGGAAGGTTCCATGACGCTGGTGAAAGGCTCTTGCTCTTGATCTAAGGAACTGAATCTCAGTTGTTTGTTGGACTATCTCATTGAAACTTGGGCAATGTATGATGGAAAGATGCTTCTTAACGTACACCAAAATTGAAAGAAATTGATTCTCGATTGCAAGAAGGATTTAGGAGTTCTGGTTAGCATTAATTTGAAACCAAGGCAACAATGCATAAGTGTTCACAATAAAGCTAACAGAATCCTTGGCTTCACATCAAGAAGTATTAGTCAAGAAGATTAGGGACAAGACAAGCCCACTTAAGAGCAACTCAGGTCAGATCACTGACAGTGATAAGGATGTGTGTGAAATTTTCAATACTTACTTCCTCTCAGTTTTTACCCAGGAAAATACTAGCAAAATTCCTGAAATAACAGATTGAGTACAATAGGACGATAATAAATTATGCATGATTGCGGTAACTAGTGACATGGTTCTCAGACAAATAGAGAGATTAAACCTAATAATAAATCCCCAGGCCCTGATGAACTGTTTGCAAGGGCATTAAAAAAATGTAAAGAGGAACTTAGCATACCTTTGGCTAATCTTTTCAACATATCACTACAAACTGGCATAGTGCATGATAAGTGGAAAATGGCAACTGTAATACCTATTTACAAGGCAGGTGACAGGTCCTTAGCTTCGAACTATAGACCAATAAGCCTTACCTCCACAGTGGGAAAATTTATGGAATCAATAATTGCCGAAGCAATTCGTAGCCATCTTGATAGGCATAAATTGATTAATGAATCTCAACACAGTTTTACAAAGGGGCGTTCCTGTCCTACGAATTTACCAACTTTTTTCACTAAGGTGTTTGAGGAGCTAGATCATGTAATGAATATGATATTGTGTATATGGACTTCAGTAAGGCTTTCGACAGAGTTCCACATCAGAGGCTAGTGAGGAAACTTAAGGCACAGGGAACAGGAGGAGAAATTTTTTCCTGGGTAGAGGCATGGCTGAAAAATAGGCAGTAGAGAGTTTGCATAAATGGGGAGAAATCAGAATGGGGGCACGTTACAAGCGGTGTTCTGCAGGGGTCAGTGTTGGGGCCATTGTTGTTGTTCACAATTTACATAAACGACATAGATGAGGTAATAAATAGTGACATAAGCAAATTGGCTGATGATATCAAAATAGGCCAGCCAATTCATTCTAATGAGGACACTAGAGCACTCCAGGATGATTTGAATAGACTGATGCAATGGTCAGAGAAGTGGCAGATGCAGTTTAATATAGACAAATGCAAAGTTCTAAATGTTGGACAGGAAAATAACCATGCCACATATAAACTAAATAATGTAGATCTTAATACTACTGATTGCAAAAAGGATTTAGGAGTTCTGGTTAGCAGTAATCTAAAACCAAGACAACAGTGCATTGGTGTTCGCAATAAAGCTAACAGAATCCTTGGCTTCATATCTAGAAGTATAAATAATAGAAGTCCTCAGGTTGTTCTT